GACATGTTTCAAAGGTAAACAAAGAGAAGGGTCAAAGCCCAGGTGTAAGGAACCCTTCCTTCCTACTCATATACTGCCTTGACATTCATAAGCAGCTGATATCAAAAAACCAAGATTGATGCACTGGCTATTTCAGAAAGAAGAGGGATGCTAGAGATAGTACAGTATGGCAAGCTTAGCCCATGTGCATCGGGTGGTTTACATGCCCTATTGGAGCCAGGTAGAAGGAGGCTCTGCTTCCTTTTACAGAGGAAGTGAAAACTGAATACTGGACCAAATGGCAGATGTCTACTGGCAGATCTCACCCACATGTCATTAGCTTACCACTACTATATTTACAGTTGTACCAAATTAGGTAGCATGTACCTTTGGTAACAAAGTTAATAAAGCAGAGCTGATACAAGGAAAGGGACAAACAAAGCAAAATCAATTACTGCCACTTGCCACTACAGTGCAATGCTGTACAACTTTACCCATTTGTTGCCAAACAATGAATGCATTTAGGATCTTAATCTGAGTCAGATAAGCAGAGTTCTGTTAGGAGCTCGTAGGAAAACGGAATGTGATGAAGGTGCGTGGGCTGAGGAAGAACATTACATCAATGCTCTGGTGAAATTCCTAAGAGGACTATTAGTCATTGGAATGACTGCAATGAGTTGCCAAAAACACAAAACAGAACAAAAATAAAGCCCTGTGTCACTTTAAAGGGCAGACTCTGAACTACAGAAAGCCTCAAACCAGGAAGCAAACATTCTGCAGCAGCCTCTACCAGCAAAGGAGAAAGATCTGCTGATGGGAATTATCTACAATAGACTGTCACAAGACCTCATGCTTAGGGTTCCCAGTGTGGTCTGGAAATTTCCCAGAATTACATCTGATCTCCAGACTACAGAGATCAGTTCACCTAGAGAAAATGGCTGCTTTTGAGGGTAGACTTTATGGCACTGTACACCGCTGAGGTCCCTCCCCTCCACAACTCCCCACCTCAGGCTCCCTCTACCCAAATCTGCAGGAATTTCCTCACCTGGAGTTGGCAACCCTAGGAGACAGTGAATAAGAAAAGGCGTAGATAGGGTTGCCAGGTTCAACTCAGGAAACACCTGGGGACTTTGGGGGTGGTGTCTAGCAAGGCTGTGATGTCACTTCTAGATCACAGGTCAAGTGCACAAAACCACAGCTAAGACTAACTTTGGTTTAGTTATTCAACTGCAAACTATGGTTTCAGATCCTGGTTGGAGGGACCCTAATTAACCAGTAGAGTGGCCTGCATTTAGTTACGCACACTAATCAAAGTTTAATTAGATCATGGCATGGCCTCATATTATGTTTGAACTGAGCTACAGTAATTTTGAAGGACATTGCAAAATAACTGCTCCAGTAGTGGAATCTATCAGAAAACATCTCCTGCATGAGCCCAGTAAGAATGAAGCAGAGAGGTATAGAGGAATTTTTGTGCATCTCTGCCCCCTTCTGAGGTGATCTGCTCAGGAGAATGTCCTAGTGGATTGTACCAAGTCTGTACCACAAAAGTACACTAGCACACTTGGTGTCTGTCCTACAGCGTTGGAATTCACTTCCTCTACAGTCCCACCAAAGTTTGAGTCTTAACATTTTCCAGAAGTGCTTTAAATCCTTGCTTGGGATGGCTATGAATGGGTGACTTCTATATAGTATTGTAATATTCTAAATGGCTATTTTATTTTTTAGATTGACAGAATTATTTTAAACCTGCTGGATTAAAAAAGCTTTAGTAAAAATGTCAAAATACTATAGAGATAGAATTAATCATCGTAGTTTACATAAAGAGTCAAAATTCATCTTGGTGCAGGGCTTGGTAAAAATGTATGTTCTGGGTCAGAAACAGAAAAAAGAGCTATTATTTATTTATACATATTTTTAAAAGATTTATATCTTTCAACCAGAAGGTTTCTGAATGAGCGATCCTAAGACAGTCTACTCAGAAGTATCCAATTTTTTTCAGCTTCCCAGGAAAGTGTTTTTAGGATTGCAGCCTGAGATGGTTTACTGTTGCCTTCATTGCTAAAGAGAAAATGCAGCACCAGTAGAGCATAATAGAGGGATCAGTAACTAGCCTAAAGTTCAGTTGTCTGATCTTGACCCAAGGACCTCCCCCATATTTTGAAGGAAAGCTGCTTTCTCTCACCTAAGCCAAGAAAGAAGTCTGATGAAGTGTGCTTGAACACGGAAGCTTATACTTTCAATAAAACTTTGTTGGTTTTAAAGGTGCCACTGGTCTCAAGAAAGAAGCGGTTTTCACTGTTCACATGAGAGGCTTCAGTTACCAATGCTTCAGATGTGAGCCACTGAAGCAAAAGCAAAGAGGCAAAGGACTCTTTAAGAACACTAACTCCTGCAGTGTCCGACTGATTTGGGTGAGACACACAGAGGAATTTCAGACAGAACCGTTTTAGAACTGGTTCCCTACCGGAATATATTTGTACTTTCACACACAAACGCTTCTGTCCTGTTCAGGAAACGGGGCTGAACCGTTTTACCTGTAAACCACTTCCAAGTAGTCTTCAGTTTCTTCTCCCGGATCCGAAATGCTTTTTCCCACTGTTTTTCGCCTGTGCGGGCGATCTCCGGCTTTTAAAAAAAATGTTCGCTTTAGAGCACTATAGTGCTATTACACAACAGCAAAACAGCATTATAGCAACCCCACTGGAATGCCTGGAGTGTTGTTATAGCGCCATAGCGCTCTAAAGCAAACGTAAAAAAAAACCCCGGAGATCGCCCGCGCGGGCAAAAAACAGCAGGAAAAAGTGGGAAAAAGCAGTGCAGTCTAAAATGGCAAACTGCTTCAGATCCAGCTGTTTACCGGTAGGGGAAAGCCATGTGTGAAATGGCAGCCCTATATCGGTTTACTCCACGACAGATCAAAAACGGCTTCAAACCGACTTAAAAAGGGTAATGTGAAATTCCTCACATTCTCTCTCTCTCTCTCTCTCTCTCTCTCTCTCACACACACACACACACACACACACACACACTCTCCCTCTTGCTCAGCTGTAGGCTGATTTGGATGAAACACACATACACTCATTCTCTCTCTCTTTCTCTCTCCCAGGCAGGCTCTTTCTCGCTCTCTTTCACACACAGATATACACATGCACATACACACAAACATGTTCTTTTTCTTTCCACCCCATGCTCACCCACCTGCCAGCTCTGCAGCACACCCCCATCCTTCCCAGGCAGGCTCTTTCTTGCCCAGCCCCAGGAGCTTTGGCTAGGGGAAACCAGTCCCAAACACATGAGAGGATGCAGGTAGGGAGTTCTCCAGCAGCTGTGACGCTCTAGCCTCCCACTCTATGGCTACCATAGAGACTAGGAGGAAAGAAATCATAGAGCATCACCTGACGGTTGACCCCCCCCCAGTGTCTGATGCTTCAAAAATGGGGGAGGGGTTCTCAAAGCAGGAGATCCCCCTCCCCCACCGGGGCGGCTGGCAACTCTAGGCGTAGAATGTGTCACTTCACTGATACAAAGGCTGTGTTTTACAGAGCTCTTCTTACAGGAGCTACTGTAAGCTCTTGGAGGATTGGCTACATTAGGGGTGTGTGGCCTAATATGCAAATGAGTACCTGCTACAAAAAGAGCCCTTACCTACAAGCAACACTCCACATTCAGTTTTATTTGAAGAATGTGGACAAATTGTTAATTTACATACAGCACTGGCAATAGTGTCAAATGCACTGCAATACTATATCCTCTGAAAGGGAAGAAAAACAAGACACGGTACTAGTATCATTATGAGTAAGGTAAAGTATTCATGCAGGCAGACCAGTGTGTTAAATTTAGAACTGAGATGCTGCAGAACTCTTGTGAAATGGGAGTCGGGAAGAGGAAATAACCAAAGTACAAATGGCTTAATTCTATTAGGTTGTTTCCAGATATACAGGAAATGCAGAAACATCTCTTATGTTTTCCTGCACTTGAAAACCCTAGTTTCATTCAGTAATATAAAACCTTAATTTTCTTATGGTGTTAATCACATGCATTTCAAAAACATACATGAATGCAAAACATTTTTCCACATCTGATGCATGATGCCAATAAATCAGGAGACAAACAATAAATGGATCATTTAAAAACTGCAGAAATCCCCCCTCCCACTGAGAGTTTTGCTGATGCTAGTCTAGCATGTTGTACATTGATGGCTCCATATAAAATATTTGTTCTAATACAGAAACTGATGATAAGGTAGCATAATGGGGTTACCCACTAACAAAGGTTTCTGTATGCTATTCTAGACACTTCCCTAGGCATGCACAAAAATATTTAGTTTACAATTTTTAAAAACAACACCTCCTTTCCACAAAACAGCATAATGAGTATGTTCACTGCTTTCTAGAAGTCAGAGAATGTTAAGACCAATTGAATGTCAGTTAAAATGGGTGGGGAAAATAGAGTACAGTGGGATGGAGAACTGGCCTGCTCAAGCCTCTAAAAGCTTATTGCATCCTAGAGCTAGAGACCTGTAGGGGATGGTGGTGGTTCTAATAATACAACCGCTCCAACCAACAATTTATCCTGGCTCCCAAGCTGTAACAGTAACACTAAAGTAAGCTGAACAAAGGTTGAGTCCAGAGGCACCTTTAAGACCAACAAAGTTTTAATTAAGGTAAAAGTTTTCATGTGCATGCACACACATTATTAGTATAAAAGATTCTATGAAATGCGTATATCAATTCCACAAAGGAATACCAATCAGGTAACTGAGGTTCCTATCCACCATTTAAATTTCTGTTCCTTTGCACTCAAGCCACCAGCATGTTACATGTGAAAAATATGTTTACATATAATGACAGCCATAATCCAACAAAGGCATGTGCTAAAGGCCACATTACTCTGTGTTGGACTGTGTTGAGAGAGAGAGAGAGAGAGAATGTGAACTATGATGTCAGTACTGCATGTGAAGGTCCTGTACTTCAAGGAGTCTTTTAAATAATATCACATAAAGAGACAAGTAACTATACCTTCATGACATCTCGATAAGACTGTATAACTTCGACATCCTCTTTATCATTTTCATCCTCTACACCTTCATCCAGAGCCTCATAGCCTTCGTCTTTGCTCCCATCTGCTTCTATCATATTAGTCATGTGATCAATAAGCTGTTCCAAGGGAGGGCTTAGCTCTCTCTCTTCATTCTCCTTCAAGCCATAGTCCAGTGCTTTATAAATAATAATTCCCAAGGATTCAATCACCTGAAAAAGAAAGATAATTTTTATATCAGATAAATTAGGTAAATAGACAAGTCAACAACCTTTGAATTCCATACTGATTTTTGTACTACGGTTAACCAGCGAAAGTCATTATCTGCTTTATCAGATGCAAAAGCAGAAGATATAATCAAACTGAGCTAAAATGGAACTATTAGCACTAATGAGGTTCAACTGTTCAATTTGATCCCAGTAATTTTGTTCCTTGTGTCAGCAGTTTTGAAAACACCAGAACTGGAAGGTGAGAGTGGGACTGATGAGCATGTACTTTTTGAACTTCAAGATGATATTACAAAGCTGAGCATCTTGAAATAATGAGGAATACAATGTACAAGATTCCTGGGAAAACAAAGGGAACAGGAACTCTGGATACATAAGCAAAGGAAACAATGTAACATATTTACAATAAAAAGCAATATGACTTTTACTGCAATCCCTTTAATTAATTCATAAAAATAGTTCTAGATGGTCTTTCTCAACTCATTGTGTATTCTTGGGTATTCTGCATACAGACTTGTTGGGAACGTTGAAAAAGGAGGAGACCAGAGTGGGCCCCAACATGCATAGGGGGAGGTGAACAAATCTCAAGGCATGCAGGAAATCCCTGCTTAATTAAGGGGGGGGGGGAAACCCTTCCACCTTCTTCAAACCAAATCCCAGATGGCTGTAGATGCATGTTTCCCACAACCTTCGGCAGCACCCAGGCACAAGCTATTAGTGAGTCAACAGCAGAATAACTGAAGCAAAACAGTCTACTCCATGCTTCCCTTCATCCATGAACCCAAATGTAGGAGGGAAGGTTCTGGCCTCAGAAGATGGGGGCTTTCAGGCTATCATCATGTAAGCCCAATTATTCCACACTCTATATGCAAGGACTTGGGGCCTGAAGTCTGAAGGGGCAAGGGAGCAAGTTTATTCTCCATTCCACCCTAATGCCCTCACAAAGGTTTGAGCACCTCAGCCTCAGAGCATGAAAGCTTGCTGCTTTTAGTTTCTGATCTCAAGACAAGCCATCTGCAGTGACTTCTGGGCTGAAGAGAGAGGTGAGCTCATATATGACCCTCCTCAGTCTCCAAAGCCATTGTGGGAGCCAGAGAACTGCTATCAGTCCTTCTGCTCAAGCTGGGAGTTGTATGCCTTGAGTAAGGGGTTTTGGAAAGTCTCCATGAACTTATCTGCTTTGCTGTCGAGGTAGTAAAGTACTGTCAAGTTGCAGTTGACTTATTGGTACAGCATCTCTGTTCCAGCTGGCTATTTCCCAGCTACAGCATAAGGGTGGCTGAAGCAGCAACTCTCCACTCATCCAGTTCCAATTACTTAAGTGTGCAAAAGGCTCTCTGTTTGAGTCAGGCAGCAGCAGTTGTTCCCACAGCCAACTCCATAGAGCTGAACCCAAGGAAACTCATCACAGGCAGTTATATCTACAAGCTGAGCTTGGAGTAACCTGATGGGTCACGTGCACAGGTCTCCCTTTCTCAGAAGTATAGCTCCAGCCATAAGCTGGGACATCATTTGTGCCTGGGTGAGAGAAGGGGAAACTTGGATGACTTTGGGAAATTGGGTCCAGCAATGGCTGTTTGAAGTCAGCTCTCAAGCAGCTTCTTGCAGCCCGCACACCCACCCACCGTCAGCCCTTCACAGGATGGGTGGGGCACGCAGACTTGCAGGCTTGTCTGTGATATGCAGCTCAGACTGAAAGGAGCAGGCTGAAGAGGTGCTTGAAATTCAGCAACTCTCCCTCAGCAAAAACCCACCCTTCCACCTCATGCTTGTAGGTTTTATTTTCTATGTGGCTACCCAGTTTGGATTGCCAGGTCCCCCCTGACTAACAGTAGGGGATGGGGGAGGTAGGGTTGCCAGATCTAGGTTGGGAAGCTCCTAGAGATTTGGGGACAGAGCCTAGAGAGGACAGGGATACAGTGGGGTACAATGCAACAGAATCCACCCTCCACAGCATCTATTTCTCCAGGGGAATTGATTTTTGTAGTCTGGAAATGAGCCTTAAGTCCGGGAGGTCTCCGGGGCTCACAACCCTACGTCATCCTTTGCTATGGCTGAAGTGGGTCACTAGTCAACACAGTTGGGAAGGAATTTTATCCAGGGCTAATTGGCTGATAGGCCCTGGGGGTTCTGCCTTCTCCATAACAAATAATATGTTTACTGTGTATGTTTGTTAGGATTCCCATTCTCCAGGTGGGGGGCGGGGAATCCCCTACTTTTGGGATCCCACCCCCAAACAGCGACGTTGCATGGCGACGTCCCCAACATGATGGCATCACACAGAAGTGATGTCATCACATCAGGGACATTGTATGTCATCACTCTGTTTTTGGGGCAAAACTTCATGATTTGAGGGCAATTTTACCACAGAGTTTTGCTCTCAAACCAGAGCATTGCTGTGCAATGTCCCTGGCATGATGAGGTCACTTCTGAGTGATGTCATCATGTCGGGAACATTGCTGCATGATGTTGCTGTTTGGGGGTGGAGCCCCACCCCACTCTTGGAAGGCTCCCTCTCACCCCCTGCTGGTGCATCGTGAAGGCATGGCAACCCTAATGCTTGTTAGCACTACTGGTTAAAAAAAGCATACCCATCAAAGCTGGGTGCTGGCGTTTAGGCATTGGCTGGGAAACACAATGCAGGTTGTGCAGGGTGGGCTCCCTGCATGACCCAAAGGAAAGTCCCTTAAGGGGTTCGGGGGCGGGGACACACAAAAGAACTTGTGTTTGTGTCATCCTTCTCCCGTCTGTGGGCTGGTGCCCACTCCAGGCACAAATAGTACAGAATTTTGTGATATGGAAGCACTTGGGGGGGGGGGAAGGGTTAGGGTTAGCAAACTGCTTTGTGGATTGGGTTCCTAATGTTTATTTCTATTGGGGTATTGTGTTCATTTGGTACATCTTGGGTGAATACCAATACTGATTTACTTTGCAAATGTTATTTCCTTAAACATATGCCATTTTGTATGCACACAAAGGAAAAAAGTATTTTTCTACAACACTAACAACTTTTGCAACCCATGAGAAACTGTGTTATCTTCAGAACTTTAATTAATACAAATATGAGTACTGTTCAGAAAACGGAGACATCATTACATAGATATCAGCATTATTTGTCTCAAATTTCCACTCAGGATATACTTTAAAAATACTGTTTTTCAAACTTTTTGAAATGCAGCAATATTTATTATGCGTGCCATTCCCCCACATTCACAATGTACAATAGAGCATTGTCCGTAGGCCTGCCCTCTTCCTAAAGTTGTCCATTTAATTTAAAAAAATGTAACAAAAGCTGTAATACATTGCTGTACTTATAAACATTTTGAAGACTGTTCTCAACCAAAATTCCTGTCACAGTGGCCATTCTCCTCCTCCTCAGAATTAGTCATCCCTTCAGGAGTCTGATGTCCAAACGATCAAGTCAGAGTGAGTAAGAATCTTTTCCAACAAGTTCCTAGACAGCAGGATTTATTCTGTAACAAGTGGGTCTGCATAACAAAATGTTGCTGATTGTGTTGAGGTTAATTTTATTTTTCTAAATGGTGGTGAGGTTGGAGGATGGAATCCTCCCACTCCACTGCTCTGTTCAGCCCCCTCTCACTCTCCCACCTGCTGTGGCCACCCAGCTGCACAGCTGCTCTACCCCTCTACCTCCGCCTGTTCCTGCCCAGCCACCCTCCTGCAATGGTTTTGCCCCTATCTCAGCGCTCAGCAGTCAAGGGGAAAGTTGGGGAAGGGGGTTCAGGTGATGCCACTGCAGGTGAGCAATAAGGTACCCAACCCAACTTCCTCTAGTGGTGCCACCTGAACTGCCGTCCCTGACTCTCCCCTCAGCTGCCAAGCACTAAGACTGAGGTGACGGCACTGCAGGTGAGGAGGCTTCTTCTCAGTCACTCGGCTGCCTCCAGTGGTGTCACTTGAGCCGTTCACTCCAACTCTTTCTTCTCCTCAACAGCTGCAGTGGTGGTGGCTCCCCCACCCAACTTGCTGCTTGGAAGCTTTGCTGCCTCAATGGCAGCAGAGGCAGATGCTCGCTCACCTGCCCACTCAGTGAGGAGAGTGGATGTGGCTAGCCAGCAGGCGAGTTGTGTGCACAAGTGCAGAAAGAGGCAGTGGAGGCAGATGTTTGCTCACCTGCACATCCAGTGAGGAGAGTGGATGCAGCCCAGACAGCGGAGTGTGTGCAAGTGCAGAAAGCACTCCTTAGTGTGGGGGGTGTAAACCCCTGATCTACAGTTGGGGGAGATATAAACCCCTGATGCATTTTTAAAGGTTTCAGATTTTTCTGCAAGCTAGGGGGGGACCTCCCCCAAGTTTATTGAAAAGTCTTACTTCTGTGTAAATGCAGATTGGGGTATACATCATTATTAGTTATAAGATAATTGGGGGCCTGGGAGACTCACAGAGGGGATCCAATCCTCTTCTCCCTGGCCGCTGAGCCCGGTTGTGCAGCTCCCTTCCTGCTCCTCCATTGCCAAACCCTTCCCCTCTTACCTTTATTCACCACCAGTAGCACCACCACCATGGGCAGTTCTCAGCCTCCTCCACTGCTGGGCTCATCAAGGCTTCTCCCCCTTTTTGTCACCCCCACAATGCACCTCTCTTTTCTGTCAGCTGGGGGGAGAAAAGCATTGACAGCCATGGAGATGGAGGCCAGAAGCTGCACTGGACTTGCCAAGGCTTCACCCCGTTGCTGCAAAAGACAACACTGACTGCAGCCTCCACGCAGCTCCCAGCCTTTGCCATCAGGTTTACCAATGCTGCCTGACTGCCTGACTGCAACCTCCACGCAGCTCCCTTTGCCATCAGGTTTACCAATGCTGCCTGCCCCCCCACAACTACTGCTGCCAGCAACCCCTACACAGCTCCTGACCTCTGACACTGGGCCCACTGAGGCTTGCAGCCCTCCTGCATGGGGCTCACTGGCAGCATTGGTGTGTGTGTGTGGGGAGGATGCTTTGGCAAGCCCTGCATGGCTCCCAGCC